GAGAGAGAGAGATAGACGCAAAAGTGAGAGGGAGATTCCATGACACAGAGACCTGTGTTGGGTGGGGGAGAGAGAAAAAGGCAGAAGTGAGAGGGAGATTACATGACACAGAGACTTGTGTTGGTTGGAAAAGAAATTTTTGAAATTATATTGTCCGTCGGATGTGTTTATATCTTATCTCAAAATGATCTGGACCTCTCTTTGTCTTTTGGATTCAAATTCGTTCTATTTTATTATATAGATATATTACATTATATAGATATATTGCACTGAAACATAATTCACTATTTAAGGGTATAATTATAAATTGGGTATGCATATTTTTCCTTTTCTTTCATCTTTCATCCAATATCAAACAATAAAAAATATATTTCTCATTCTTTTTATCTTTCCTACAAAATAAATAATAATAATAATTTATTTTCCTTCAAGAATAAGAAAATTATGACTATAACTATAACGTTGCGTTTGATTCACGGTAATATTTTTGAGTAGAAATAGAATAAACATGAGAATGGAATGGAAAAAACATTATCATTCCCATGTTTGGCAATTAACTTGGGATTAAGTCTTGGAATGGAATGTGCATTCCAATATTTGGATTAAATTATTTATGCTAGAATAGAATGAAATTTGGCCAAAATATATGTTTTTTTTTATCATAGAATTTCTAACTTAAATTAGCATACAACCTTATGATGAATACTCCTATTAATTTTAGAACTTAACAAATAAGATTAAATGCACAACAAAATTCACCAAAAAAATATTTAAAAATTGATAATAGAAATGACAAATAAAAAAAAGCTGAAATGCATAAATTTCATTATCATACATAATCCTCTGTGTATATTCTTGTTCTCACCAAAAAATAATAATAAATATTCACCAAAGAAAAAAAATATAAAATACATGTATTTTGTTCCACAAACCAAATAAATATAAGTTTGTTCATCATACAACTTTCTACATAGTACAAATTAATTCTCCATCAAAATAGATATGTTCAAATAATACCGCTTAATACTCCTCTAACAAATTTGGTCTTCTTGGCCTCATGCATGACCAAAAGAGGTCAGTAGTATCAGAGTCCTGAGCCAAAGGCCTTGCGCCTCTCACTTATGTAAAGATCAGGCATCTTCAATAACTCTTCAAAAATCGTTTTCTTTAAGTTACGGACTGCAACATTAATACCAATTGCACGGGCAAACAAAGTTGTTGCCTCTTTAAGTCACGGACTGCAACACCACCACCAATTGGAAGATTAATGACAACTCACATTCAGCACTTAAACAAACACAAAGCTAGCAAAATGAATTTAGCACATTCAGGTAAAGAACTTTGCAAATTCACTTAGCTATCACTAAAGATTGGCAGTTAATTCCTTTGGTGGAGTCTCCAACTTGTGTTACATGCATGTAAACATTCTATCTAATGATCAGACACCAACCAACAAAAAAATCTAACTTAAAACAGGGAGCTTTTGAGTTCTGTAACATTTCTTTTCAGACAATACCAAAAACTCTAGACCGGATACATGAAGCTTGTTCCCGGATACATGAAACCGGTTGATCAGACACACACTTGAAGTTTAAAAATGCCTAATACACCACATAAAATGATGGCCCAAGAAAAAAGAGGTCCTAGTCTTTCCCTTTGCAACTAGATACTCGGGTTCTAAAATCTTAAGAATTGTGACAATATCGTTATTGTAATTACATTCCTAACATCATCAATTAACACACATTCTACTTCGAAAACTTGATAATCAGGTCCGCAAGGAAACTTGTAATATAATGTCAAACTAATTAATAAATCAAGGACAAAAACACCAAAAACAAACACACAAGAATTTTATTAGTCTTACTTTTGACTACAATCAACTGGACGTGGTTTGATATTCATAAAGCAAATTGCTTATGAAATGAATAGCATACAACATTCTAGTATCACTTGAAGTATTAAAAAATCCATCAATCATACGCAATCCATGTTTGATTTATCACTTGACAAAAATAGCTTATCCAATTTGTATTGCTTGTTTTTCAGCAATGCATGCTTCGTATCAATGATTGATATAGAAAAACAATTCATCCATCGGTCCTCTGTGATTCACATCATAAATTAAAGAATTGACCTAGCAACTACTCTCTATATAAAACAACCCTTTTCTCATTTAGGACCATCATCAAACATGTTTCGGACATTATCGTGTCCAACTGATTTAGCTTGGTCGGCCAATAGATTTCCAAACAAAGTCAGTTGTATAAACTCGAAAAACCAATGCATTTGTATACACACAACAATTACCCATTAATCAAGACAACATGAACACACAATAATTCCATCAGAACGCCAAAAATATTACCCCAAATGGGTCAAATCCCAGCATAGGTCTCAGTAGAGAATAGTTAAGAGGTGAGCAGAGGAGTGGAGGAGAGAAGAGAGATTTGGGGAGAGAAAGGTACAAGTCGATAAGAGAAAACGAGACAGTGGAAATCAGAAGAAGTTGGGTTTTTAGTGGTTATGAATTTAGATTCATTACCGAGTTATTAGGAATGAGAAATACCATGTCTTATTTGATAATAAAAAATTAAAATAAATTTTGATTATCATAAACTAAATAAGGGAATACTCGTTACTAAGGTAAGGTAATACTAATTCTATTTTTTTACTCTAATATCATGTACCAAACACCGCGTAAGACAACCCAAGAAAGACAGCTCAGCTTTACCCACTATGTGTCAGGGTAGTCCCACAAGAAGGCTGCGGGGTGTGGGTTGAGGGACCACCATACGGCCATCCACACATTCGAGACAGATAAAGGTGGCCCCCACTTGTACATCAAATACCAAACCCCACCCCATCCTTTGCACGGTCCACGGTGCATCCCTTAATCCCATTGCTTGCTTTGACCCACTAACATTGTGGAGCCCACCTCACAAGTGCATTTCTTTCCATGCTGCTCACGTGCGCCCATCAGAAACAGAGAAAGCTCCAAGCTTATATATTCATAAGATAATAAAATTACACTAAAACCCTTTAACTATGCTCCTCATTTTATGTTTGCTCCCTTACCTTATTCAATTTCTCACCTTACACTTTAAATTATTAATTTGAGTTTTTGCATTTTTTCCACTTATCGACTTTTCCTCGATTTTTCACAACAAATCAAGACAAAAGTAAAATCTCACAATATTAAAAGAAGAGTAATACTATCAAGACCTAATTAGCTAACTTAATCACTATAACCATTAAATTAATTGTGGGTCCTATCAAACATTAAAATTTATTGTTAATCTAATAGTTATAATAAGATTACATCATTATATTAACAAAGTATGTTGAATCTTTATGTTCAAATAAGAGCATCTTTAACTCACTCTATATTTCCTCTCTTTTAACTATTTTAGTTACCCAAACTCTTTTAACTATTTTAGTTACCCAAACACTAAAGACACTCTCCAATACACTCTCTATCTCATTCTCTATTTTCCATTTCACTCAAATGGCTCTCCAAATGTGGAGAGTCATTTAACCTCTCTAATTTTTTTTTTACCTCTTTCTCTCTGATGGCACATTTTCAGACACTCCCAGATGATGACACGTGTACTCGGCGTCAATGGAGACATTTGCTCTAATACTGACACGCCTTCGTCAGGTTTCAACCCCCTGTCTCGAGGATTCTATTCACAGGGATCAAGGATCCTCAAACCACCATGGACCGACACGTATTCCTCGGTAGTTTGGGTACATCGGTCCTAAATCATGCTAGTCCCTCGGCACCGAGGGGTATCTATCCGTGTCGGTGTTTCTACACCTGCAGGAGCTATTAATGGACAGATCACTAGCCTGCAAGGCTAGACTAGCCATCACGACCTCGTCTTACTCAAATGGTGTCAGGAGGTACAAGAAAGCAGAAGGTTCAACCAAAGGGGAATGAGCACGTGGCGTATTGTGTCAGGTCAGAGACAAAAAGATCAAAATGCCCTTGCTGACACACGACTTGGGAAAGCAAGTATTTAATGCACCCTTTCCTTGATAAGACAACATTTAATGCATGAGTGCTCGGAAGTGAAAGGTAATAAATGTCCCAAAGCCTGGTCATTTAATACACCCCCGCCGAGAGAAGATCATTAAATGTTCGGCAGACCGAGGAGAAAACATTAGTTGCTTGGGGTCCCGAGCAGTAAAGAATAAGATCATTACTCATAGAAATTGGTGTGCACGCTGTCCACCCCTAATGATTACCTACTAACTACACTGTCAGCAATGATGAATTTTTAAGGTATAAATAGTCCTAAAAAACACAGAAAAGTGGTACGCAATAAACCCTCTCTTAACCATCATACAGTGTTTTCTTCTTCCCCTCTCTCAAAGAACTGACTTGATAGTCGGAGGGGATACGCCGAAAAACACTCTGACGCCCTTCTAACTTGTTTTCTTTTGTTCCAGGAACCTCATTTAGCCTTCCAGGATCACTCAAGCGACTCATAAAAACGATTCATTATCCACCTTGGGCCACCTTCGACCCTCACAACCTATTCAAGTTGCAAGATCAACTACCCGATTGATGGACACGTGTTCACTACGGAAAAAATTTGTTCTAGTATATATATTGTGCAGGATCTTGCACGCACACTATATATATATATATATATATATATAGATATTGTATTTCTTTTAAATTATCGGAAGTTAGTGAAAGTTGAATGAAATAGTTAGCTGAAATAGAGAGTGTGATTGAAAAAAACTTATAAAATTGGCTAGTTAAAATAGAGAATGTAATTTTTAAATATATTTTGAATAACCATTTTGAAGAATTGAGTTGAAGATGCTCTAACATTACTCTTAAACGAATCATGATACTTCCTTTCTTTAGGTAAATTTCATTTTCACTCTAATTTTTCATGAAAAATTGGACAAAAATTAACAATTGAGAAATGTAAAAACTCAAGGATTCAATGGTGACCAAATGGCCAACCACACCGCCGTTGGATCTAAAGGATGCGAGTTCGAACTTCACCCACTCCCTCCTCATATACAACTTGTTAAAAAAGAAATATAAAAACTCAAATCAATAATTTAAATTATAAACTGAGAAATTGGATAATTTAGGGCACAATACAAAGCAAGATGATAATTTAAAGGGGTCAAAGTGTAATTTTTCCTTACCATAGCCCAAAAACCTCCATGAACGGACCAAGAGGAATGAAATGAATCAAAGCCTCCCAATTCTGTAATCTCAATCTTCAATTCTTAGAACCCATCTGATTCTTAGCAGAGCGATTACTACTCATGAATGGAAACTCTTGCTTGTCGTAAATCTCCAAAGAGAAATCTCTCAGAGTCTGCGTCGTCGTCTTCGTCGTCGTGGTTTTACCAGAGCTTGAACTCGGAACACTTCTTGAACTAGTCTTCTCAACTTTCTCGCTCATAGAGGCACTTGAAATGGTTGGGTTTGACAAGCTATAAAGCTCCAATGGCGTTGCTGTGTCTATATTTATAGCAGGTTGCGTGGAGGCCACGAAAGAGGAGATGGGTCTTGCAGGAATGTTAATTAATGGCGTTGATGTTGGTTGAAAAGCCCATATTTGATTCTGATTAGATACGCCGGCAATGGATGCCCCCGGAGGAACTATCAAAAACGCCGGTGAAACTGCAAAATTTGATTGTATTGCCCACATGGGTGTGAGAGCGTGAAGTTGATTAGCCGCCATTAACGGAGCAAGAACGGTGGAGGTGGTTGAAGTTGAACCCATATCGCCGGGGTTTATGTCTACAAACTCACTGTTCGCCGGTCTCTTTCTTTTCTTTTTTGCGGCGTCGTTGTCGGTGGTGGCGGCGGCGAAGGAGGAGGAGGTGGGGATCTTTAGAGTCCCGTTGACTGACATGGCGATTGCAGGGACGGTTCCGGTGCCGGTGGCTGCGATGATGGATGGCTCAGCGTGCTCGAGTAGCCACCGGACGGTTTCGCCTTCGGATTTGTGGCCGAGCTCTCGGGTGAGCTGGAAGATCCGAGCAGCACAGGTTGCTGGCATTCGAATTCTCCGGCCACGGCCTTCGACTTTTGTGTGGCGGTCTTTCGTTGATGCTCTCTTCGTCGGTGGTGGCGCCGCCGCTTCCGGTTGTCTTATTTGCAGCGGCATAGGCATCTCCACCGGTATCATCCCTATTCCCTCGAGTGAAATCCTTTCTTCCTCGTCAGGCTCTTCCTTAAAAGACACCACTTTGGCGGTTGGTGGTGCCATGGGCAGTGATTGGGCCGCCGTGAGCGGTGGTTGTGCTTCACAGTTGATTATGTGACTAACGGTTGTTGTATCATCGTCTTTCTCAAGTTCTTGTGTTTGTGTTGTAACCATAATTGAGCAAAACTATGACAGAATCAGTAGAGAACAAACATAAAACAAAGCAATTTGCAAAAACTCAAAGAATGACAGAGTTAAGATAATGGCTGATCCAATGCATCTCTTTTAGGGACGAGAGAGAGAGAGAGAGAGGGCCAAGAAGAACGAAATGGTCCCACTTACTCGGTTTTATGTTAGGTTTGGTCAATGTTGTTGATTACTTTCATGAGCCAAGTAAAATTATTCTATAACTACCGAGTGGAGTGGTTACCGGTGTACCGCCTGAATTTCTAACGTTGAGGTTAGAGGTTTTTGTCCTATGTTAAAGTTCGGTGCTCGATTATTATATTAGTTTAATTAGATTCGTTTATAAGAGTTGTAAGGGGTGCGATAAAAAATCTCATAATTTCATTAATAAAAATTTATCAGAGTGGTATCTAAACGCTCTCTTTTATTCCTTTTTTATTTTAATGAGCAAAAAATATATATATATATTCTATATGAATTTTCTTAGTATTTTAAGGAGACCCATCAGCTGTTTCTTCAGTATTTTTTAATTAGAACTTTATTTTGGGCATAGATAGATTTGGTCCATAAAGCAATGACAATTAACCAATGAAAACTTAATTTCAATTAAGACTAAATAAGGTTCACTTGTCCATTTATTTTGGGCATGGATAGACTAGGTCCATAAAGCAATAACAATTACCCAATGAAGATTTAATTTCAATGAAGACTAAACAAGGTTTACTTATTATCAGATTACACCATCTCATAATACTGACGTAAAATAACTGTTACACTTAATATTTACTTTTCTTTATCAAGCTGTTACCTATGAGTCGTTAGCTCATTCTTCAATAGACACATGGTTACCCTGAGGCGCCTTTAGGTTAAAAAATTACTTAATAAATACTGTGTGATCAATTATAATTATTGAATTGAAAATTAATTTTATTAAATATTCAAAGTCATAATTAATCAAATGATTATATTAAATTATGTCCTTTTTAAGTTTTTATAACATTGCTCTTGAATTAATAATAAACTTTATTTAATGTTAAAACCCAATGTTAATTCAAAGTTCACAATCCGTTAACTTCTCATATTAACTCTATAAATTAAGTTTCAATAACATTACTCATTTTTTTATGAATATCGTATTTGCTTATTTATTGCTTAAATTTTGATTAAAAACCTTAGTTTTTAAATTTTGATTATTCCTAAAAGTGTATTATAGAAAGCTCCAAAACTATGGTGGTTAGTTTGTCATTTGAACCTTCCATGTGGCATTGACTTAGTATTTACGTTTACTTTGGTTTGTGAAAGATTTAGGTACTACCAACAACTACAGCCTTTGTTAGATACTACTACTACATTTCCACAAAGGAGTTCAAGACATGTTCACCTCAATTGATAATGATCCTATGTTTTCTCTAATAGATCAAAGGACATTAATGTAATAAAACAAATCAAGCTACTCTAGTTTGTTGTCAACTTTAGACCATCCAACTTCATGCTATATTTTTTGACCTGCCTTCGATTGGACTGAGGAAGAGGTTAGTCAAGGTACGCATACGTTGGCTCGAACATCCTAACCTTTAAACAAAAGAAAAAAAAAAACTTCATACTATATCAATGTGTTGTGTTTGTAAATTATGGCGTATGGGTTGATAATAGGTTGTACCATGTCGCGTTTATAACGTGTCTAAATCGTGTTTGGTCAAAAAAAATTATAAATCTGTGACTCATACATAAATTTTTTGTAAAATCGAGTATGTCATGTCGTGCATAATCATATTTATGTTGACCAATTTATTAACGAGCTTGACACCTTAATCCGAATATGACCCGAAACTACAAAAATATACGAGATCCATCCTGGTCAAATCGGTGAACACATCCACCATGCCACCTTCCCGAAACTACAAAAATATACAAGATCCATCCTGGTCAAATCGGTGAACACATCCACCATGCCACCTTCTAATGGGTCCGGGGCAAACTAATCAGGCTTAACAGCAGAGTCAAGTAACCACATTGTGGGGGTTCCCACCACCAGAAGTGGGGGTGATGGTGGTGGTGGACACCAGCTGGTGGTGGGATCCACCATTTTTTATCAGTGGTCCCGCGACGGATGAGAGTATGCCCTGTTGGCTTGAGGTTCCATACCTTGTAGGCCATGATGGTCTTCCATAAAATGGTCCATCACCTGGTGAGCCACTTCAAGATGGGGACCCCCCCAATTTTAGTTTCATAGTGGGACATGCTTTTTAGATGAAGAAATATTCATCAAGGAACAATGTCCTACAGCACCACACAATAATCTTTGAAAGATTTCATCGCAACTATGTCAGTGTCAAAACTAAAATCTATCGCATACTCTAATCGCTAAAAAATATATTTAATCTTATTAAACTGTTATACTCAAACCCAATCATTAAATAAAAAAATTTAAATTCTTACTCATTGAACCAAACGTTCGGTGATTGTGGAACATACTTTTTAGCCATTTGATAGGGTGAAAGATGCAAGTCATGGGACTATTATTCCAATGTTATCTCTTTATTTACTGTTCTTTTCAACGTATTTTCTCATTGATACAGTTGTTCTTATAAAGTGATCGTTAAAGGTTTTTAATGTAAAAACGCCTTTGCAAAAAAATATTTGTATACATTTTTTTGGAAAAGTGTATTAAATAAACATATTTTACATTGAAAACGTGAGTTTAACCCACGTTTTAAACCCACACTTTTTTTTTTTCTTTTTTTTTATCAGAAAGCCCACACTTTAATGAACATAACTCTAAAAATAACGGTTCTGTGGACAACAATATAAAATGATGATAGTTAGATAATTAATTCACCTTTATCTCGGGATTTTTTTTGTTCTTAAAAATTTTGGCCATATTCCCAATCATGGCAGTGCTTTACACACACACAAATATGTATATTTACTCCTCGACTCTAAGAGAGAGAATAAATGCACTACTTCTCGGTACACTTTCAAGAATAATAAGCAATCAAATAAACTACCTTTCGTAAGCCTAAATTAAGCAGGGCTACACAACTACTGCAACACTAGTTGTCTATATATGAATTTTATTCGTTATTATCAAGTCTTTTCGTTGCATTCACTTACAACAAGAAACAACCACCGGCGTTTTTTGGTACAGCACCTACATTTTGGTGCATTCTTCTTTCTTTCCTTGGTCTTTCTTTCTGTCATATTCCTAATAACTTATCAAAAGCCTCCAACCGATCACAAAAGTTTTTCACCTTAACACAATAACAAGAGCGAGCCCCAACTAGCCCAACGAGTTTGAGTTAGCCGAGCAACAAGTTGCCAATGAATGTTGCGGTTCTTCACTAACCATACAACATAACTACACAAGCTTGTCATTTAAAAAACGAAGATTGGAGCAAAGGATTCAACTTGGCGTCTTTCACCAAAGAATTCAACAATAAGCTTCAACTTGCACATGGATTTGATTGTTAACCACTCACATGACTCCCACAAGTTGATCAGTTAACAATCAGGCACATCAACACATAAAGAGGAACAAATTCTCACAAAAACCCACAACCTGCATATTTCAGTGGAGGAGGAATAAAATTCGCCCGCATACACAAAAATTTATTTCATATCTCTACTGCTAAGACTGGGAAAATGGAATATCACCTACTCGTATGATGTTCTTGAACATCATGCAACTACAGCCACCCGTCAAGGCAGAATAAATGATACAAAAATGAAGAAGCGGAGTTAAACAGAAGGTGCGACTAATGAATTGCTGAAGAAGTGAGTAACAGCCTTATTAAAAGCCTGGGTGGGTGGTAGGCTCACATCAGTGTAGAGTGGTGTGACACAATATATATATGAATCTGGAATCAAGAATGCAGAGACAACACAAATGACAATTTTTTCCTATCACTGGGGGATGCTTCACCAGTAAAGTACAGGAAATTTGCCTTAGCTTCCAACATCAGGAACCAGACATGTAAGTGTAGCGTGTTTGAGCCCCAACGATAAGCTCAACAAGTTTTGCTGCACATTCAGAGAAGATGTTAGAAAAAGAAGCTGCCAAATGAAAAATAAATAAATAATGAATAAACCTGAACTGAATATAGACCTGACAAACCGATGAAAAATTTTAAATCGAAAAACAAACCAAACTAACCAGTAAGAAGGCCGACAACAGGAACAGGTTCCAATAGTTTTTCGGTTCTTTCAAGTCTTTGCCTGAAATATTTAACACTTGTTAGTGCCTGTTCCATTTACGAAAATAACGAGAAAAAATACATCATTACCGGGTATACTTGCTAAAGAATGGGTCTCTCATGAGGTAAAGTGCCCACAACAGCTTCCTCCTCCTCATCTGCGTCATACCCAGTTTTAGGAAACAATTTAGTACAACTCAATCCCGACTATAGCATTAAAAACTGAAACTTGTTCCCAAAATCAGCGGAAGTAAAACTCGTGCCAAAACGTATAAAAATGTGTGTGGATGCTATAAACTAAGTTTTCGTAAAAAATATGAAACAATGGAAGAGCCAATTACACATATAAGAGACGTATGCGGACACGGAACAGAGGAAAAAGATCCTGAGGAGGATAATAGTGATCCTGAAGATGCATCAATATATTTACAATGCCAAATATGAAGAACTCTAACCTCATCCTTCTCGGGGTTGGAAAGATGAAACTCTTGGCCTTTTCTACTACACCTTGACATTGAAGTGTAGGAAAGAACACCCATTCCAAACAGGTCCACAGCCAATGAAACCATCCAAGGATACCATGATCGAAGTCCATATTTTCTTATCGATAAAACATAAATAAGTGGCCTTGTGATGAACATCATCTCTCCTATCATAAATAAGCCACCAGAAAGACCCTTCTCAGACAAAAAAGTGGGAAGGCTAGGTCTCTCACCCACAGGAGCTGCAATTATAATATAGCAAAATTAGCATATTTCTCTCACAATTTTGATTTGGACATGGTTTCCAAGCAACAAGTTGCAAACGAGGAATTACTTGAAGGCTCCATGATTGCCTGCTGGTGTTGGACACTACGCAACCAGAAAGGCTCAGAAATCGTCCTAGCATTTTCTCCAAACCTACTCAAGGCTGATAGTGCCCTCCCTTCAAGATTCCACGGATTCTGCCCATGATAATTCTGAAGACTACCAGGCCGGTGAAGTTGCCCAGGATTTGTGAAATGTCCATATCCACATTGGGGATCCAAAGCATTTGAACCTTTGTCGGCATTTGCAGTCTCCCCTCCATGCAAAAGCATCTTGTATCCACTGTTCCGAAACAAAGCTACTCTAACTAACACCCTATATTAAAATGAATACTCATTTTAGCCAAAATTTATAAATATCAGCTAACTGAAATCGAGTGGAATTGAGAACAAGTTGTGTAAAGTATGGAAACTATGCTGCTTACTTGGTAGCTTCTGTAACAGCAATGAAATTCCATTTTTTATCATCACCATATATTTGTTGTGCCACAACTTCAACCAATGTTTCCAAGTCCTTCAGCAAAGTTATGCACAAGGAGTAAGGGAAGGAAGAAGGCTCCGAAGATCCTGTATGTATCCTTGTTGGAGTTGTATCAATAATATATTCATTGACAGCCGTTATAATGCCCAAAATTGATGTAACTGCAGAAACATTTACGGCATACTCAGTTTCTTGTTTGTCTTTTACTGTTGCATGTTCAGTTAAATCATCAATTTTTACAACGCCGCTAAATCAACAAAAAATCGGAAAGTTTTAAAATGGGCTTAATAACTGGAAATTGTTGGGTTGATAAGATAATCTATAGAACAACCCAGGTTCCCGCTATTGTGGCATCTACGAAGGGTCGACGTACACAATATTATTCCGCTTGCAGAGAGAATGATTCTACACAATCTCACACAATTTTTTTTTTTTTTTTTTTATCTTCATACATTTTCATCGTAATCATATGGACCCAAAAATAAAATTCATTTTTGCTTAAAGCACCTCTTTCCAGATCACTATAGTCACTCATCCCACATGCATTGGACAATCACCAAGAAATATTCCTAGGGATGAGCCCCCAGAAAGAAGCAGCCCAATTAAGATATTTTCACTTTGGTTGAGCTCACAAGTTTCAGAAAGCCAAATAACAAGAAAATATAAACTCAAATAATTTGTATTGCACACTATTAGTGACCAACCAAAGCTTTACTTCAACATCATCTAATGTAGCGGTTTCTAAGGCAACAAGAAGAAGCCAGTGTTACCGAAATTTCACAAAACCTGCTTCTGGTCCAATTTCTGAATCAGAAAACCGTTCTGGAAGAAGCCATGTCAACCCCTGAACAAATTTTCAAAAACCAGATAAGAGGACCTCTTATGTGACTGCAATTAACACAGACAAACAATAACAGCACAGGTCAATATCAGTATTTTCCGATATTTGCTCAGTTACTGGCAACCATGGAGGATGGATACAACCTTAACAGAATACAACCCCCCCGGGGCTCTTCTTCCACAAACATACCCAATTCATACCTATCTACCTTTAAACTTTTCATCACTTATGTTCTTCAAAGACGTGGCATGGGAAACATAACAAAAAAAGAGATACAATTAGGCCCGCAACTGTTCATTTACAAAGACACCGTCACAAATCATCACTGACAACACTTTTAAACATCAAAATGTGATCAAATTAGTAGAATATCCAAGCAAGATTCAACTTCAAATCTTCGTCCCAAATTCTAATCATTTCTAAGATACCATGCACACTACCAAAAAAATTTCCAAGACCCATAAAATCCAACCAACCAATAGCCAAAATAATCAATATAACTTCTAGAAATATAATTGTTTGCTACATATCGTCAAACAAGGTAATTAAAATACCAAAAAAATGTAGGGACTAATGCCCTATTTCAACTGGACAAACCAGATTCCACTTTAACTAAATGATCCCAGAATATCTTCTCCATCTCCATCTGTTACAAGATTAAATTTGGTTCCAATGCTACTTTTTCAAGAAAGCAAGCTCCTCTACTCTTGCACCCGTTTATTGGAGAGGGGTTTTCGCTGACAAGGGCCTATAAAATCAGCCAACATATACGTATTTCCTTTGACTTCTATGGTGTATTATGATATATTGCCCTCTCTATCTCCTCCTTTCTTTCTCTAAATTTCTCACTCTATCCTTAGTCTGTTTATCAGTACCTTTCTTTCTCTTATTTTCTCACTCTAAGTTACAAATTCTTTATTTATGCATACAAGAAAAGTCAAAAAAAATGTATGCTTGTTAAACACCCCCTAATACTAGCCAATAACAGCAATATATACACTATATTATTGTTTCTCTCTAACCCATAATCTTCAATACCAAGATGATATTCCATCAAATTCATATTGGAACCAAGTGCAGAAATATCCCCCCCCCCCTTTTTTTTTGCCTTCTCCTATTATTTCCCTCCACCAACAACCATATAACATACAAACAAAAGGAAGCAAAACCCACAGAAACTAACAATTTAACATCAATATGGTATACGGACGCATGTAAAAAACATAGCGAAAATACTAAGCATTTTGAGAGGACTTACATTGGCTAGAGACTCCAACGAATGAACATAGTCTTTGTTCCTTCTAACCCATCTCTTATAACCCTCCATAGATTCGAAAAAAAAAGGTGTCTTTTATCCACAAAGACAAACACCCGGCTCTGGTGTATATGATTTCAAATCAAAACCCTAACACTCTGTGCCGCCACAAACTCAACTCATGCTCAATCTTTTGCAGTTTTTGGATCAAACCCAGTTGAGAAATCACATATACGAAAGAAACCCTAATCCCAATTTTATCTCTTGCTGTATATGACAAATGACATATAGTTTACGAAGAAGTTGCAGTGAAGGTGTCCGAGTTGATGAAAAAATCAGGGTGAGGGCTGTGATCAGGTGTGTCGTTTGTTGTATGCAATAGAAAAGGTCCTTTAATCCTAACCGTTGACGTTGTCAAATCCCGTTGAAATAGATAAGGGCCAGGACGAAGCTCGGTGGAAAAGATTGTAATTTACTAACATAATTTGTTAAATTAATTCATAATAATTAAATCTGTCAATTATATTAGATAAAACGAATTTGTGTTGAGTCTTAGTAGGTTCTTATCAAAGACTTTTTGAATCATAGTTGATTCGTTTATTAATTCGTATCTAATAAGTTATGTTATATTGAATTCATATTATGTATAATTGATATATAAATGAATTGCAGACTCGTGTCATGTATTTTTTTTTGTTAGACCAAAAGTAATTTTTTAGTGTAAAAAATAGAGTTTTTGGTCAACTTTGAGCCTAAATTAAAGTAGGACCTATTAATTATTTCGAATAAATTTTCGTGATTCATATTCTACTCCGTGAGTAGTATAACGTGGAATATTCACTTGTTGAAATCGAGAAATAAATGAATGAGAAAATAGGCTCCAAAGTGATCCTCTTGAAGAGTGAAAATAAAGGATGTGCAATGTGAGATTTAACACCAATCCCACATTGGTTAAGTAAGAAATTCAATATCTATATAATAAAATAGAAGTGTGTTTGAATTTTATTTCAGTCATATTTTCCCTCTCAAAACTATCACCAATCATTTATCCCATTCATCATTTCTTTGTCAGAATCAAACGTCAAATCAAATCACTAATTTCTATCACATACTTAATCATTTATATATTTCCTTACTAAAAATATTACACCACTCTTTTCTATTATATATCTAATAATTTAATAATTAAATAATTTTTAGTTAATATATTTTGAAAAAATTTAATATAGTGGGTTCAATTTTTGGACGCTCGAATTTTATATTTTACCGTGTCTTCAAGCATGGGTTATGACTAGTGGGCATATATAGCTCAACTTTGCTCTATGAGTTGGGCTCCAAGAGATACCACAATTTTATGAGCAAAGCGAGCACTTACATGCCGTTGGGTCTACCACACACGCGCACGCTCCGCCCGACCAGGCTCGGGTGTGGGTGTGGGTGTACTTTAGACCAAACCCTATCTTTTTGTGAAAAAAATTTATTTAATTAATTGGGCATGAATTTCTTAACCAGAAATTAATTTCGGTATCCATTGGATAATTCGGATTTGCTCCAGTCCGAACCCGTTGATTAGTTCTGATTTACTCCAGTCCGAAATTTTCAAGATGTAATTGTTCATGAACAACAGTTATTCAAGGTGTCCACTGATTGGGTCGATTTTTGTTTCTGGGTTGTGTCATTTAGTGAGGTGTCTGTCCGAACAGTCACCAGACTATCTATAAATACCCAGTGCATAAATTCATTTTATTCATTCAATTTATCAGTCCATTAATTAAGGCATTTAAGACAATACGTTTAGAGAGTACACGACATAAGTTTTTGTTTGCTGTACGAACAGATTGAAGTGTTATTTCTGTTCGTGGAAGATCATTGTATCCTGAAAAGCAGGCGCTCGGATTTCATAAGCACTGTGTGTGGGGGCGAAATCTGTCTTAAGGACATAGTGTCAAACACTAGCCTTGATTTACAACGAGTTCAATAACAGTTCCTGTTTTACAACTAGATTAGTTTTTATATTAATTTGGCATCGAGTTACGTGTAACTGTTTTGATTTGTGTTACGGTTCTATAATTCACATTTACTGTTTGTTTTATTTTAAGTTATATGATATCAAAAATATCAATAAGTGATTTTACAATTTTGAAACACCACAAACAACATTTTTATGGTCTCATTCATACCCGACTTGTTTATTAATCGCATCGTGTGGACTTGTGACAGTATTCCTCTTTTTTATTAGAGCAATGTTTTAAGGACCAAATTTACTGATTTAATTCACTATGATATTTGGATTTCCTATAGCCCCTATCAAATATTGGAAACTATTGATCCAATAATTCTTATGAAACTACATCATTATGTCAGTAAATTATGTCAGGTTTTTAAGTCCAAATAGCATTACTCTTTTTATTATAATCCTTTTGAAGCGGGTATATGAAATTTGACTTAATTGTCCAAAAGTATATAGAACAAAATATTTTGTTAAAAAATCCACTTAAGACATACAAAAAACTTGAATATCATTTTATTATAAATAAATTTCCTAAAAATGAGTTTGAAAACTAACCTCACATTTAATTATCTACATATTACCCGGTGTGTTGTCTACCATGCCTCTACATCTCCTCTACATGTGCGTGTGTGTATAATATAAAACATGATAGAGTTCAATAAGTCTACTTGATGGTCTCAAATAAATTCATCTAACAGCTACTAACGTCCGTCACAAAATCATTCACATTGAATTTTTTCCTTTTCAAAATCAATCACTTTTCACTTATGTTGCACCGTATTTCAGACATAAGTTACCCCCTAGTATATATATAGGAGAGAGAGAGAGAGAAATAGACAATTGAGTTTTAATAATACAAAAACCTACAATTTAAAAAATTAAAACTTATAATAAATTCTCTTCATTTTTTTTAGAGATATATTTTAAAGTTTTTGAAAACTTTTAAAATTTGACAACTAAAATTAAATAATTTTAATTATCTTATATTAAAAAATACTAAAATTATAGAATTTTAGTCACGAATGTATATATATATAATATTACAAAGTTACTCTATGAAATCTAATTTATATTACTCCAATATTATTTTTTTTACACTGTATTAATACATTTTAAATTTGTGTAATTTTTAAACCTTAATTTTTATTACTCATATACTGTTTTGATACACTATATTGATACATTTTACTTTCATAAACTCTTTAAACTGTATCAATATGGTATATCAAAACAATATAGAAGTAATAGAAACTAAGCATCATGGGATGACTTCATAATATAAATAGATATGTTGGAAAAAATTGGATGCAAATAAAGTGAACGGCAATATGAGGTGCGAACTAGGTCGTTCTCTTAAGACGATTCGTGTCATTTTATGAAAGAATCACAGCATAAAAGGTAGTAGCACGTCGTCCCCAGGATACAACATGTCAACCTATTAACTGTTGCTTCACTCATATCTGCACAATTGAATGAAGTAGAAACTGCACACACACCTTTGAATATTGCCAGAAACTTATTCTTGTAAGGAGAAAGTTGATATGATATATGTTATATATTTCTATATTGAAAATACGTATATATAATATATGTGTTTAATAGGCTGTAATTACTTCTATAATTAATTTGGATAATAACTCACAAAAATATGACTATTGGAATACTAGTCGTTCAAAGTTTTTGGTATTCAGCAACTGAAATCTGTATCTCCTTCGCTAGTCCCACCCCTGCGCACGTGAGAGTCCCAAAACCTCTCTTTGATTTAAATGTTAGATAATACTAGTACATATATATACTCAAGTATCTTAGAATGTTTAGTCGATATGAGATTTAGTTTCCACATAAAAATACTCTTTTAGTTAAAATATTCTAATAATATACATAAATATATCAATGACAAGAGAGTTATGTTTAATAGCAAGGATAATGACAAAAAAATTTAAAATTGAAAATGGCTAAAATATACACAATTAACATTAAATGCAAATTTTGTGATAATATAATTCTTTCATTATATTCGAAAATATTTAATACAATAAAATAGCATAAAAAATTATCTTAATTACCAAAAGAAATATGCATACTTTAAGATAGGACAAATATGTCAAAAAAATTATAAAAAGTCAAATTTTGTAATTGAACGCAAATGAGTTTTAAAAATAAGAACTTAATGATCTAAAATTAATAACTATATACTTTTTGATTAATAACTTTAATTTCGTAATTCTCCTTACAATTTTCCTTTTTTATTAACTGATTTTATGGGCCTCCAAATGTCATAGACCAATACGAGCATCAGAGAAACGACATCGTCCCGTTTTATTCGCGCTAAAACTAATTAGGGTCCGACGGTTTTTCATAAGCTGAGTAAAATCCAAGCTTTACTCTCTCTCTCTCTCTCTCCCTCTCTCCCTCTCCCTCCCTCTCCCTCTCCCTCTCCCTAGGGTTTTGGAAATCTGCCAAAAGCCTTTAATTCATTGAAGATGCAACTGACCCTCGAATTTGGGTAAATGTTCCTTCATCTCAATATTTAAGTTTCGCTTATGCTAAGGTCAAAACATGTGTGTGTGAACATAATAATGANCCTCGAATTTGGGTAAATGTTCCTTCATCTCAATATTTAAGTTTCGCTTATGCTAAGATCAAAACATGTGTGTGTGTGTGTGTGAACATAATAATGATTTAAGACTGTATGGTTAAGGATGAGAAAAAGCTGATTTGGAGTGAAACTAGTCAAGATTATACACCATCTTTTATGGAATGATCACAAACAATTTTATTTTATTTTATTTGTTCTTTTCTCCATTGATGAAGTAGAGAGCATAATGAAAAAGGAAGCATTTTTTGGAATTGAAATTTTTCTTAAATTTGATTGTAAATCATGAAGAAGAAGAAGAGAGTAATGACATCGGTGTGAGAATTTTCCTCGAATGTTTTTATAACAGCAACCAAACTAGAGAAAACGATTTTCTTTAAGTACTTAGATTTGGGGTTTTATTGGAGTCTCTATTCTAGCATAAAAATACTGGTGGGGTTTGGTAACCTGGCTCTTGATGTTTATGCCCTGAAGATTTCTCAGTTTTATATGCTAAGATATAAATAAAGTTGATGTGAAATCTGAATAATTACCATGTTCTTGGAAGGACTGAAAAAGGAAAAGGAAAAGGAAAAATTGCACTTTTTGCTTGGCTTGTTCCCAACCATATATCAAGTACCCCCAAGATTAGTTTTTCTATATTTTCCAATTCCTTTATTTAATGCTTGATCGTACTCATTTTTCCTTTCTTCACCCAATGCCTTCCAATAGGAAGTTTTCTCTCTCTCTTTCTTTTTTTTCCTGATTTTTGAGCGGTTTGGCACTAGAATCCTTGTGTTTACTTCTTAGTAGCCTCGAGGCACCCATTGTTTGAGCAGTTTATTTTATCTGTTACTGCATAAACTTTTCTTCTACACTAGTTGCTCGATCAACCTTCTCTTTGCTTAACGCCTTTTGCTTGATATGTTCTTTGCTTTGTTGATTTTAATCTAGTGGGGGACTGGAGCTTCTTTGTGATTCAGTAAAGATCCATAAAATCAATGTTGACCCAGAGGCTGGAGTAGAGAAGGTGAATCTCTTTTTTGACTAAGTATTTCAAAAATTGCATGAACGAACATTCCTGTGTATGACTTCTCTTATGCGGCACAAGTCAGGATGTATTTTCCCTTGTTTATGTTTAACTAAAAAGCGATTTTATGGCATTTTCCTCACTAGTTAACCATGAAACACTTGCTCGCTTGGGTTCGTACCAATTTGATCAAGGAGAGGCCTGAAATGTTCATGAAAGGAGATTCTGTGTAAGTTTCAATATTCTTCATAATGTCTTTAAATGTGAATGGTGTTTAGAATATGCCTATTCAATGTATAGGCAGTAGGCAGTGTTGTTTACTAGTAGAGTTCACATTAAACTGCTCAAGCTTGGCTCGTGCTTGCACGACTAAAGAGTCACTCAAGATGGACTTGTAAGACAACAAGCCAACCTTGAGCACATTTTAAAGCTCATAATTTTATTGACTTGGTTCAAACACAACTCAATAAGCTATGAGTTTCAATAGAATCCCAATTGCTCATATCAGCTTGTGGAAGATCAACCGACTTAAGCTCGGTTCATGATTGGGTTGGTTATGGCTTGATAAACAAACCAGATTCCAACGTCATTTAGAGCACAATAAGGTTTTGAACCAAGATTGGCCAACCTATTACTCGATTTGTTTCGTTTACACCCCAAATTACCGATGGATTTTTTTAGATATTTCTCAATCAATGCACTAATTGGAAGTATTTTATACACGTGTACCTGCATAAAATAATAGAGAGTAATGCTTTCACCATGTTTTAAATTGATATGGAAATGCTAGGCCAAAATTCAATTTACAGCTTGAAAAATATGTATGTCTCCTTTTGTTTGCTGAACAATATGTGAGCCTTTAACATTCCCATCTATAAATTAAGCAACACTGAATTAGCAAAAATAATTGGGCAAACTTCATTTTACCTCCTTGTGGTTTATCGCAGTTGCATATGAGTCCTTAAGGTCTAAAAATGGTACATAACCTTCCTGTGATTTGTGGATGAAAAAGCACACTACACTTTCCATTCAATTTAACTGCTCATGTGATGCACGCTCCTGGGGTGAGAGATGATAAGAAAAAAATATTTGAAAATGACAAACCAACCTCAACTGCTCTGAAACTTTGTTTCCCATCTCTCTCTCTCTCTCTCCCCTACCGACAACAACGACCACCCACCTCCCTGTCAACAACCACGATGATCCACTTCTCCATCAACAACAGTGACCACCCACCTCCTCTAGCCATCAACAATCACAATCACCCGTGACTACCCACCTCTTTTCATTCACAACCTCTTGTATCTAATGAGGACCCAGAAACCATATCTCAAATGGATATCACCAATTCTTTGTAAAGTAATCCCTTAGAGTCCACTATTATGATAATTCTAGCTAAACAAAAGATGTTTCAAAAACAGCCCAGAAGGAGTAAACAAAATAGGAAAATTAATGGTAAGTGACAAAAGCAGAAACTAACCTCTAATTCTTGCTCTTCATGGGGGAAGTCTTTGTCAGTGATGCTTTTCTTGAAGTAAGTTTCTGTCAAGGTATTGGGTCTGATTTTTAATCCTGTGTGGTTTGATTCTGTTATTTGGTTTGATTGTTTGAATCCATTTGTGGTTCAATTTCTATATTTTGTTTCATTTTGATTTTTATTCACCATTTTGGTTTGATTTCAATTTCTGTTCGATTCATTTGGTTTTTAATTGAGTGTGGTGTTGTTTTTGTGGATTGGATATGTTAGCAAATTTGGATTTTTTTGAATTGAGAGGTTGGGATAGAAAATTTTACAAGTGTTGATGTAGACTGGCCCTCCTCCCAGCCTGTTGGCTGTGCATCTAAAATCCTAGTGTCAGGTTGGAGGTTCAGGGGCTGGTAGAGAGAGAGAGAGAGAGAGAGAGAGAGAGAGAGAACTTAAGGTAGAAAAAAAAGACCCATTGTGCAGGTGGTCGCAGTTGAAGAAGATATAGTCAAAGTTGACATAGGTCTTGTTGCGCAGAAAATAGGTCACAGTTGTAAGAGGAGAGGGAAGAGTATTATGGTCATTTTAAATGTCCTGTTAATGGAGTTAGTCCCGCATCATGGTCCACAAACTACAAGGGGTTATATGCCATTTTTAGACCTCAGGGGGTTTTGTGCAATTGGGGTAACCACAAAGACGTAAAATAAAGTCTGCCCAAAACAATTTACAAGAATTGTGCACTCTAAGACCAGAGTAAATATGGATCATATTTGCAGACACTGTTATCATGCTACTGCTCTTTCTCTGTCTCTCATTGGTGGTGTTTTGTTTAACCGTTATTTTATTTGCAGGAGACCTGGGGTTCTAGTCCTCGTGAACGATTGCGATTGGGAACTAACTGGCCAGCTTGACACAACACTGGAAGAGAAGGATGTTGTAGTTTTCATTTCGACTTTGCATGGTGGATAGTGTCTAAAATTTCGCCTTGTTGGTGATTATTCACCTTTCAGTATATTATTATCGTTGAAACCAAATCCTGTCTGTTAAATTCATCATTAATGATGAAATATTTGAGCATTTGAGAAAGTGGATCCTGGTCACAAGCATTGAAGGTTGTAACTCAGAATTGAAGTGTATGATATATTCCTTATCCTTTGTGTCTCTGCATTTTGGGAACATTGCTTTATCATTTAATGGCCATGTGCTTATTGAGCAAAATGAACTCTACCAGGGGGAAAAAACAACAAAAAACTTCAGTGCAAAAAGGTAAATGTTGAGAGTGGGATTTGAACCCACGCCCTTTCGGACCAGAACCTTAATCTGGCGCCTTAGACCAACTCGGCCATCTCAACAGATTATTGGTTACTGGTGAATTTATTTATAAATAAACGAAGCATTTTAGAAGTTCATGTATTTAAAATATGGGCAATCCTTGTGTTTTCACTCTTCCTTGTAAATAGGGTTGACAATCGAGCCAAAATATTCGAGTTTGGCTCTTTTTGAGTTTGGGAGTTTGAACAATTTTTTAAATTCGATTCGAACTCGCAAAACTCAATTTGTCTATATGTAAAATAGTCGAGTTACTTGGGCTTGACTTGTCGTTTTTAAACGAGTTGAGTGTAAAAAATTTTTTAGATTTATTTAAAAAAAACGAGATAAATAAATTCGATTTGAGTTCACAAAAATTTGACTCAATTATCGGTCCTACTTATAAACAAAAACAAAAACAAAAACGGGTCGAGTGTACATGGTATGTATCCATGACAATCACTAACTACTTTTGCTCATCTTTTCCAAGTAATACGTTAAAGAGGTAGGGGTAGGTCCAACAATGTGGGTCGAACTTGGAGCAAATCATAAATTTCGATATGCCATTGGTTGGTGACTTACGAGTTTGGTATTATTACAGGTATTCTAAGTATACTCTTGCACGAGTGAATTCAATGTTTTTCATCACCCAAAAATTATTATTACGACACTACAGAAATATTTTTTGGTATTGTATCTTATCATTTTTTCAATCAAACACATGATAGTTGTGAAATATTTTTATTTTATCTATATAATAAAGTAATTTACAATTCTAATTTTAAAAGATAAAAAAAATAATTTTTACTATTTGTGATTGATATCTCTTTTAATTTTATTTTAAAATTAATTTGACGATTAATATTAATACTCTAAATTTAATATGAAAAATAGATCCCTAAGAGTGTGTTTGAAATAACTTTTTAAAAATATTTTTAATACTTATAATTTCTCATAAATACTTANAGAGTGTGTTTGAGATAACTTTTTAAAAATATTTTTAATACTTATAATTTCTTATAAATACTTTAAAAAAAAAAAAGTGTTTGAAATCACCCCACCACTATCACTACAACCGTCACCACTACCACCACCACCACAATTATTCCACCTCACCCATTGCCTCACCCTCTACTATTACCACCGCTTGACCACCACCATCCCCATTACATTCACCATTACTGTCAACTCCACCCCATCACCGTCACTTTCCTACCACTGTCGTNACCACCACCATCCCCATTACATTCACCATTACTGTCAACTCCACCTCATCACTGTCACTTTCCTACCACTGTCGCCGCTACCCCACCACTAACTTTGCCACAACAACTACCACTGTCCCCTACTATCACCACCGTTATCACCCCACCACCTCTACCATTTGACCCCCCCCATTACCCCACCACCACCACCACCACCACTACCGTCATCACTCTTACCACCTACCACCACTATCATTGCTCACTCTCATTATAATTGGTGTTTAAATTCATTTCTCTCTCCTTTATATTTGTGATTTTGATTTTAGATGTAAATATAAATATATTTATTATTGACCATTTTTTTTATGCAATAACTAGTTATTTTATATTTGACAAATTTCACTTTGCACCCTAAAAAATTTCAAATTTTTCATTTTACACTCTCAAAGATTAAATTTCTCATATTACACCTTGTAATATGACTCTTCTATTAATTTTTCGTTAGTTTTTCCGTCAATGTCAATGAGTTGACTTTTGACAAAAAAAAACAAAAATTAATAGAAATACCACATTACAACACTTTTGATACATTAAGAATTCAATGCAAAAAAAATGATATTTAAGAGTACAAAATATAAAACTTAAAATCTTTCATGATATAAAATGCAAAAAATCCNAATAACTAGTTATTTTATATTTGACAAATTTCACTTTGCACCCTAAAAAATTTCAAAATTTTCATTTTACACTCTCAAAGATTAAATTTCTCACATTACACCTTGTAATATGACTCTTCTATTAATTTTTCGTTAGTTTTTCCGTCAATGTCAATGGGTTGATTTTTGACAAAAAAAAACAAAAATTAATAGAAATACCACATTGCAACACTTTTGATACATTAAAAATTCAATGCAAAAAAATTGATATTTAAGAGTACAAAATATAAAACTTAAAATCTTTCATGATATAAAATGCAAAAAATCTTTTTATTATTGCTTGATTGTTTCCATCAAGTGATCCTACCCCTCTTTCAATCTCCCTTTCTTGTATCAGGGCCAAGCCTTGAAAAGCTACTTGCAAATATGTCAGATTCAGCTTAGTATGGCACTGGCCTCCAAGAAATTCTTCCTTGTGTGGCCCTTAGTTTCTCACACAAAAGTGAAAAAGTATGCCACAAATGCTTTGCTCTTCCATCATAACCAAGAAAGTCATGAGCAAACTTCAAATGCAGCAACACAGTGCATAGGGTAATTTATATCTGTATACTGTATCTATGATTTGCTCCACAACGAATTAGCTTGTAATCAATAACGTAAAAAGGCGTCCCAGTGCTATGGCCGAAGCAGGGTGTGAAAAGGTTGGATGTATGCAGTCTTAGAAGAGTGTTTCCGTGTGATGCCTAGTTCACAACCAAACAACCTTGCCAAGCTGGCGCTATACCAATGAGTCGAGGAAACAAAGGTTGCTGAATCCAATGAAGAAGATAGCTCAGGGTTACAGAACTGCAAATGAATCCTACTTGCTGCATTATTAGTTTACATCAATCAGATGGTACTGAACATAACCCATACATAATAATCGTAATTAAACGCATTTATGCTCATTTAAAATACAATAAACTTTTGGGACTTAAATTATGATTCCCCAAACATGAATCGAACACATTGTACAAATTGACCTATCTCAGCAGTATAAGTGATATTTATCTGGAAAAACTTCACGAAAAAATGGCACATGCAAAGGGAAGGCAAAAGATAACAACTGAGAGCATATTACATTCAGACCTTTTGCTTTCCTTTTCTTAGCCTTTCTAGTTCCGCTTCAGCATCCTTTAACTGTTCCCTGAGTGTTGATACCCTTTGCTGCAGCTCTTCCACTGTGCCTCGGATGATGGAAGGTTGATATGGTGATACAAAATTATCTGAAAATGCCTTTAGAGCTTCAACCCCAGTAACCTGTAAAAGCTCATTCATCAATCAGGCTGACAAATGATGAGGATGTGTAATTTCTAGAGATACCAACTTGGATTTTTTTTCCCGGTAACTACCAACTTGGATTTTGACATCAAGCAGCGATCAATAATTTTGGGATTCGAAACGAAAAAGCATCAACCTTTAGGCAATAATTTATGTAACTATTTTGAAAAAGATAAAATATAAATAAACTAGTTGTTTCCCGTGCCTGAAGGCACGAAATAATAAAAATGGTCAACAATAAACATATTTATATTCACATTCAAAATCAAATTAAAAAGATAGAGGAGAAAGAAAATAATATAAACACTAGTTGTAGTAGGGATGAGTAGTGGTAATGGTGATAGGCGACAATGGTGGTGGTGAAAGACAGTAATAGTTATGGTGGGTGGTGACGATTGTGGTGGTAGTGGCAACCGTGGATGACAATAGTGACGGTGATGGACGACAATGATAGTGATTGGTAGTGGTGGAAGTGGGGCTACGACGATGGTGGGTGACGGGTGGTAGCGAGTTATGGTAGTGGGTGGCGGTGGATGGTCGCAATGGCCGATGATAGTAGCGGATGGCGATGGTCAACGGGCGGTGGTGGGTGGCGATGGACAATAGGTGGTGATGGGTTATGGTAATGGGGTGGTGGTGGATTATGATAGTGGAATAATGGTGGTAGTGATAATAAATATAAAAATGAGATGATAGTGATTGTGATGGTGGCGATGGGCGACAGTGGTAGCAGTTGATAGTGGGTGACGACAATGATGGTGAGTGATGGGAGGTGGCGGTGGCGGTGGCGATGGTGATGATGGCAGAGATGGTGGCGGGATGACAACGATTGTGGTGGTATTAGTGATGGTGGTGGGGCGACGACAGTGACAACAATGGTGATTATAGCAGAAGTGGTGGTAAGGTAGCGATGGTGGCAGGAATGGTGATGGTGGTAAGACTTGGGCGAAGGCGGTAGTTATAGGGTGGCGGCAACGATGGTAAGGTGGCGTGGTGGTTGTAATGGTGGGGCGGTGGTGGTGGTTGTTGGGTGACGGTGGTGGCGGCGACGACGGCGGTGAAGGTGGTGATAGGATGACGGCAACGATAGTAGTGGTGGCGGGGTAGCGGTGGGCGGTGGTGGTGGTTGGGTCATTCCAAACACTATTTTTTTTAAGTTCTTATTAGAAACATTTTTGAAAAGTTACCACAAACACTTTAGAGAGCCTATTATCCCTATTAAATTTGAAGAATTAATATTAATCGTCAAATTAACTTTAAAATAAAATTTAAAACGATTTGAACTGTGAAAAATAAAAATCATTTTGTTTATCTTTTGAGATTTGAATTGCATTGTAGTTTATTATATAAATTGGTGGGTAAAGCACTGGCAATATGGAAAATGCATTCATATGTTTTACTTTGCAACAGTATAAGTATTGTTGACAAAATTTGTGTTCATGACAAGTTCTCATCAAATTTACTTCAATTGTTGAACAGGACTGAAGAATCTTGACAACATCGTTTACCTCTTGAGGGAGCAATGGCAATTTAGTGATGTGAAAGTCATCATATAACATGTAGAACTGATCAAGGTATTTTTGTTGCATGCTCATTCTAGCTTTCAGCAACTTCGATTCAACAGCTAGGATTATAAAAAGCAATTAGTAATTAGCTTTGATACAAAGATTAAACCGAAAAAAAAGTTCCTACAATATGAATGTGGAAGTTACCTTCTTCGTCAAAAATTACTTGATTGATAATAATATTATGTGTATCTATCTCAAATTTAGCGAGTTCCTGCACCAGTCTCTCTGTTTCATACAGAGAGAGGAACTCCGGGATGCATACGCAGACAAAGGTTGTCAGGTCCTGTCAGCAAAAGAACTATGGTGCGTAAGAAGAAGAATTTGACAGGTTATCCAATAGATGAAAAATATATAACAACNGAGGAACTCCGGGATGCATACGCAGACAAAGGTTGTCAGGTCCTGTCAGCAAAAGAAATATGGTGCGTAAGAAGAAGAATTTGACAGGTTATCCAATAGATGAAAAATATATAACAATGGTAAAGTTGCTCCATGATGCGTTATAAGTTTGATTGTGGAAACAACTTCTATGCACGTGGATTAAGGTTGCATGCGTCCCCACCAGAATCTGCAGTAACAGAAGCCTAGTACACTGGACTATGCTTTTTTGGCAGGAGTTGGGGACTAAAACTACACAATTAATGCTTCCTATGAACAAATTCTTGCAACTTATTATGGTAATTGAATTTTCAAGATGACAAACAATGAAAGCATGCACATAGGTTAAGCCAACTAAACAAGTAGCACACTCTTTTTTGATTTCCTTCGTTTGCGGTTTTTTGGTTATCTCTAACGTAATACAAATATCAAAGAAAGCTCCTAACACCTTTAGTAGTCATGTAACTATCCCACAATTTCGATGTCTATATAAGGATTGGGGGTAAGGAATGGCAAGTAATCATGAGCCACCCTATAGTTGCAATTGAATGCACGGCCAAGCCTTTCCATACTACGAGGTAAATTTGAACCTTTTGCCTTAAATCTAGAGCTATAGTCTTGAGCATTAGTTTGAAGTGGGATAGCAATCCAGCCAAGAGATGGCAGAGGGAAGCATACTTTAAGAAATTCATCACAAGATGTGCAAACAGAGCATTGGAAACTACCTAATACATTTGGAACAGAGCAGTTGGATGATCAAGTATGACAGTTCTTACATTGTCAAAAAAAGTCAACCCATATCATGCTAAGTGGATGTGTTACCTACAGCAAGTAAAGAAGTTTTTTAATCTCTTAAGCATTTCCTTCTCGTGCATCTTCTTTTTCCTCTTTCCTCTCCTGTGATTTTTTGTTTCTACATTTGAAAAATTGCACTATTATATGAATATTGCATTGGCAAACAACAGGACAAGTCTGCACCTGATACGGCAATTGGGCAACGTTTTGTCAACAGACACGCACACACAGAGGCAAACTATTTTTGGTGCATCCAAATCATAGTTTCTGCACAAATGTTGCTAACAGCAGCTTTTGCAAAATTCACATATTGCATCTACTTCCCTACTTTCCTTCTAGTCCCTACTCTGCTCCGCTGCCACAAAAATATTGGATTCAGATATCCCATTTTTTAAACGTCCTCCTTTTAGTCTTTTGCCCTCAGTGTTGTTCCAATGGCAACATTTCACACACCTTTAACGGTTATCAGATTAATAAAGTCATATATTGATGAATTGGGTCCTGGTCTTTTATCAAAATTATCCTAATTATGGTGATCGTTCAAAAACCATTAGTTATCCAGCAAACATGGATGAACAGATGGTTATCTCAAAGAAAATAACTTCTGTCATTATGAGATCTTACCGGATCCTTAAACTGCTTGTTCACTTGTTCAATCACATCTTTCATGCCCTCAAGCTTTCCCATGATTGCATCCTCACCAAATTCATCACCAGCGCCAAAGACACGAGTCATCTGCCAGCAATATTTACCATCACTAGTTAGTTACATTAGCTGTAAAACCACCAAAGATTAGACTTGCATGATAAAGCTACAATCTTACAAGCAAAATCACATCTATCTATATATTAATCATCCTTGTACATTTCAGATGATCCACATCAAACAAAAGCAAGACAGCCTAAGACCAAATAATGTGGTGGCAATGAGTCAGATATCAGGGTTGTATATGAATAAGGTGATCAACACCCATTGGAATGGAGAAGCTCTGGGAACTTCTTATACAATTTTTCAGGAGCAATATACCAGATTGATGCTGCTAACAACCTGGGGAATGATTGAAACAAGTCTAAGTGCTTCCATCATAATCTGGGCCATCAGGTGTTTTTTTTTTTTTGGAACAGTGGTTCGACTCTCAGACAAATCATTAGTTAATTAACAAGATATCAAAAAGCACATTGAGCAACGCATGCTGGGACCACAAGGTTGCATCAGATTGTATATAAAGAACAGATGACCAAGGTAAAGTCTAACATAATTACTCCAATGTTTATGGCGTTTAGCACAACCAAACAAGCTAACTAAGACAGACACGTTTTCTAAGACCATACTAAATCATTGACTGGAATGAAGGCCAAGGGTTGGCTTCCAAGGAGGTTCGATCCTCTGCAACCATAAAATCACCACCACATCCATTGTCCTCAAAGCAATTGGCATTGGACACAATGTAACGGACATTTTTGCTGAAGAAACCAAAAAGAGGAGTTGATCTAAAGGATAAGGTAAACTTGCACGCTGCTACCCACTCCCCTGGGCAGGGGTTCCTTTGTTTCACTTCATAACTGAAGTCCAAACCAGAAATGTACATGAAAAAATACCATACCCTTCCAATGATAATATTAAGGCCCAAAAAAAAGATGAAGTCAGAAAGACACATGCCAAGTGATGCCACAATGGTTCGTCCATCAACCTTACAGAATTTTAGATACAGAATTAATAGCTCTATCTATGGTCAGTCTATAAATTAACTTCATACACCTACCTACACATGGCACATTGAGGTTAAACTTAATCAATCCCCAAATTAGCGAAAATAAGAATGCCACATACCAACTACCATAAAGCAAAATGAGCTACAAGCCAGTAATATCAGCTCACCCACACTCGTCCTAAGTTTGTGCATGAAAGTCCTAAAGCAGTTTTTACTGTGTTGAACTAGAATATATATTATATACCTGACTCAACAAGCCACCAAATTTGTTCTTCAATGCCATCATTTTGTTGAGACCCTTCTCTAATGTTGATGGAAATTGTAGTAGCCGGAGCGTATGACCAGTGGGAGCCGTATCAAATATTATTACAGAATAATCCATTGTTTGCACCAATCTGCAGTAAAAAAAAAAAATGGGGCAAAGAAGCAGAAAATTCAGAATGATAGATAACAAGTGGACATAAAATTGTCCACCTTTCAGGAAATATTTATTAGGTAGGTCAATACATATAAAATACAACTCAACTTAACAAAACCTTATACTAATACGGAGAAAAAAGTAGCATTGTGTAAGGTAACTGAAAACCAAAATCTTGGACAAAACTTTTACAAAATGGACATAAAATCCACTCCCAAAATTCCACAAAGAAGCAGCAGCAAGATAACCGTAAGTAGCAATACTATGCATTTCCAAGGTGTATGCTGCGTTTTGTTCAGAAGGGAAGATAGATTATTTATTGTATACCACATAAGTACATCTATAACATCATAAGTGGCAATTTGCCTATGGGAAAAACTCAGGTCGTCTCTTCCACCCCTGCCATAGTTTCCTTCCCAATTTGTTTTTAATTTTTTGGATAAGAAATTGGAATTCCCTTCACAACTGTACAGATACAGCTCATTATGAACCCTACAATCCCTTCTCAGCTTGTGTGACTACATAAGTTTTCCTTTCTTCCTTTCTTTTTACTCTCCTTTGTTTCNGATAAGAAATTGGAATTCCCTTCACAACTGTACAGATACAGCTCATTATGAACCCTAAAATCCCTTCTCAGCTTGTGTGACTACATAAGTTTTCCTTTCTTCCTTTCTTTTTACTCTCCTTTGTTTATTTCTTTCTCTCCACTTTGTTATGGGGTAGGAGAATAACCACAACACGAGCTATTTTAATATATGCACAACCCATAGACACAGTTTTGAAATCTAGGATTGAGCAGCTATGACAGATTTTAGGACTGATGATACGCAGGCAAGGGAACCAACATGTTTTGGCACCTCTAGGGATGCAAATAGAGCACCAACACATGAATTTTTTTGGTATTGGGTTGGATAGAGGTACAACAAGTCTCCCTCAGACTCGGTGGAAGAATTTAACCAACCCAACCCGTGAGAGCGGCCGAGCAAGTTTCACTAATAGCTATAGTTTTTGGTGATGCTTCGATCCAACAATTGTTATCAGAGCGAAGTCACAAGTTCTAGTCTAAGGGTAGTTTATGGGGAAAAGATTATTGCCCAAGATAAATGAAGGTACAACAAGTCTCTCTGAGACTCGGAGAGCTATAGCTTTTGGTGCAACGGTAAATACTTCGATGCAACAATTGGTATTAGTGCAGATCACGGGTTCGAGTCCTAGAATAGTTCCTGAAAGAAGATTGTTGGCTGAATGGTGAAACTCGGTGGAAAGGTTTAACCAACCGGACTCGTGGGGGCTACTAAGCCTGTTAAAAAAAAAAAAGGTTGCACCTTCATTAACAACTATAACTTTTAATTCAACGCTGAGCGCTTTGATCCAACATTTAGCACATTTGAAAATAATGAAAAAAGTTTATCTAGTGTGAAAAATTGCCCAACTCTTTGTTTTTATGTCACAAATGAGGCANAACGCTGAGCGCTTTGATCCAACATTTAGCACATTTGAAAATAATGAAAAAAGTTTAGCTAGTGTGAAAAATTGCCCAACTCTTTGTTTTTATGTCACAAATGAGGCGTACTTCTTCAGCCTGTCCAACTCTTATTTTTGTCCCCATCAACAAGCCAACGTGGGTAAAATAGTTCATGGAGAAGAAACTGGACAGCCCCATTTTTGAATGATAGATGAGGAAAGGGTATGAAATTGATTAAAAATAAGCTCATGCCCTAATGTTTGAAAAGGTTTTAGATCTAGGCTCAAATTGGAATGTTTTTCCATTGCTTTGTGGGTAAACCTCCTAGATAAGTAATTGGATTCTTAGAGACAAATTCAAGCAAACTTCCTAATGAACAAAGATCACCACAACCAACTAATCAAGTATCATTATCATAGCAGAGGCTTCTTCGCAATAAGGAAGTTGGTACGATGAGCAACCTTTTAGATGGATCCCATCCATTCTCATGTAGCAATTAGAATTACAGGTAAAGGCTTGTTCCCCTTTCATCTTTCCTTGCTTATCTTCAAATGTATGCTGGAACCTAGAGCAATATAATGGTTAGGACTTAAAAAAGGGTTCATCAAACATATACAAGTGAGCTCAATCGCTCAATCTTTGGGTGAGTCTTATTTTCACCTTAATTTGGTAAGTTCTTCTACCTCGTTTTGACAATGCATTTTCCACTAAAATGAAACAAATTATATCATTAAACAATTTAAAGTTATAGCATCCAAATCAATTAATCAGATAGTTTTTGTTTCATTTAACATCAAAAGCAAAGGTTAAAGGATACGCATTTTCACATTTGTCGCATTATAAAGTAGAAGGAAACATTTTGCTTGCATCAGCAATTCTATAAAGCAGCTAGACATTATCACATTCTACAACCTCTTGATAATTGACACATGACANACATTTGTCGCATTATAAAGTAGAAGGAAACATTTTGCTTGCATCAGCAATTCTATAGAGCAGCTAGACATTATCACATTCTACAACCTCTTGATAATTGACACATGACACTTACTTTAGCATCTCCGCAAAGCTCATAGCCTCATCAATACCAGGAATGGCATTTCCAAGCTCAGACAAAAAACCATCCATTCCATCCGAATTAAGTGGGTCTTCATTCTCCACATTGGGATCTACCTCCTACATATCCACAAACTTCAACCATAGCATCACACCAAATAAAATTGGGCAGAGTACAAACAACCAAACAATTAAGTTGCAATGAATTGAAAAAACCCACAAATTCTGCAAACGCCATAGCTCAAGTGGAAGTATAGCAACTGGGGATTGCTAACACCCTAACAAATTGAAATTTAGTACAAACAATCCAAAATATAGCACATATTTGTTCGAGAACACTAAATATGGTGATTCAAGCCTTTTCTTCTTCTTTAAATAGCTGTGATGGTTGTGGGAATAAACTACACATAAAATGAACTAAATCTTATGAGACATAGCTTTCCAGATGAAGATGGAGGAAGCATCCACAGGACAGACATAAATGGCTTGACTCAAGCAGATTGCATTACTCATTTATTATTTAAAACTAAAAAAAAAAGCACTAGTGCATTTACATATACCTCAACATATTTTATGTGACCTATTATAAGTCTAACCATAGTGTGCCATATTAAAGAGGAAGTGGCATACTGTGCTCCCTTTCCTGTTCCACATCCAAGGAAAATCCCAATTCCAGGTAACATTGGTGGGACTTTGAATTTGTTTCAAATTAATATGGAAATTCAGATGCCTAAATCACAGGGTACACAAATGCAGACTATGCCCTATGTATATATTCGCAACATGTAATAAATACATCACAAACAAGCTTTATACTCAAATCAAGCACAGAGTGTCAGCTTGTTATCAGCACTGAAGCTCACTATTCATATTAGACAATAACGCAAAAAAGGTAAGCCGACTTTATTACTAGCTTGGGGGTTGCCCCCAGAATTAAGCAGTACGACTGGGGGATCAAGGGGAACCCCTGCGTAATGTAGAATTACAAATAGAACTTCGTTTAAATGCACCAATATTATGTAAGAGTGCTCTAGATTAACAAAATAAACCATCCATTAACACGTACGGCATCTCCTAAAAACATTATGATTCAAAAAGTGAAGAACACAAAATAACCATTAACCCAGGATTCCCGAAAAAAGGAAATAGAAACTGTTGAATTGGGCATCGCCTGGATCATTAGAGACCCAAATTTACTATAAAAAATAAGAGGCATCAGACTTCAAAATATAGAAAAATAGCCTAAGATTCATAACAAAGCAATACCCATAAACCAGAAAACCTATCCAAGTTAACAAAACAACAAAGAAATCTCGATTCAATAGCAGTTACAATACCATGGCGTACAAATTGGTGAATCCATTGACCAAAATAGGTGTCTTAGTGAACCGTTGTTGAAAGGCATCGCTAAGATTGTGAGCAGGGTCGGTGGAGATTATGAGAACAGAGGATCGAACCCTAGAGAGAAGGATCGACAATATGGAGCTACATGTGGTCTTACCCACACCCCCTTTGCCTCCAACGAAGACCCACTTCAAACTCTCTTGGTCCAGTATGTTCTGCACTGTTCCCTCCGGTAAGTCCGAATTCGAAGCCATTAATGGACACAGAAGCTTGTATCTCTCTCTTCTCCAGACTTGTACAAAACCCAGAAAGTGGAGAGAGATAGGGAGGAGGGGGAGGGGACCGTGTGTCTACTTGTAGAGAGAGAAAATAGAGATGGAGCGAAGCACGAACTTGTGATTGATTGTGTTGTTAGTGATCGATGGATGCTTAGAAGAGAAATGCTGATGACCCAATTCAATTCTGCTTAGCTTCAAATCTAAAATATTAATTTTTAAAAAGTTAAATATGTTTTATTTTTTGTATTTTTAAAAAAAAAATTGTCTAAATTTTGGATATTAATTTTTAAAATTTTTTAAATATATTTTAATTCACCTCTCTCACTTTTTTTATTCGTTCACAACTTTCTCAAAAATCTAGCCTAATTAAATTCTGAATATCGTTTATACCCTCGTCCACCTTTTTTCATCAATGAATTATTTAATAACAATATACATTAATCTTATCAAATTACGTTATATTATGTGGACCTATNATCTAGCCTAATTAAATTCTGAATATCGTTTATACCCTCGTCCACCTTTTTTCATCAGTGAATTATTTAATAACAATATACATTAATCTTATCAAATTACGTTATATTATGTGGACCTAAATAATTATTTTTACAAAATTATTTTAAATTTTATCTTTTGTAATATAACACAATAATAAATAAATTTTTAAAATTTATTATAATATACTACTGAAAGAGATATCATAGTATTATATTATCTCAAAATTTATTCAACTCGTCAAATTTTATAATATATAAGTCAAGTCGTTAGTTATTTACATAATTTATGTTTTGCGAGTACATGTCGTGTTTAATTGATTATTTTGACTAATTAATCGATATTTTAAAGAAAAAAAAGTAATACTTTTCTTTGGATCAACCTGAAAATCCTGTCTGAACGTAACCATAACAGCTTAAAGTCATGGGATAATCCTTCAGAACAACCTAGATGGTAGACTCTGCAAGCACTATAACTAAAGTCATACTGATGATTTTAAAGTTCATCAGTAAGAAAGTTATACAGCATTGGTACATAGGAGTTACATAAAATAAATACACAGTAAGATGAGAGAAACTCAGTAGAGAGAGTTGTAAGTGAAGCAGGTGGCTATAATTGAGCAGATACAGATGAAGAGTGAAGGAAGGAGGGTGGCATTCAAGAGCCTGCTCATACCCCAGTATCCAGTCAGGGTTATTGTTGCATCTGCAATTACTCGGGCCAGGGTTCCGGCTTCAGTTGAAAGCAGTCCACCGTTGTAGGTCCCACGTGAAAGTCGTGATGACATGACCCGAGATAGGAGCGATAAGTTAACACCTGCATTGGTCAAACAAATGAAAAAAAATACCATAATAATAAGTCCCAAGTTCAAGAAGCTGGGGAAAGATTGAACATAGAGCAGCAAATTAATGATNGGAAGGAGGGTGGCATTCAAGAGCCTGCTCATACCCCAGTATCCAGTCAGGGTTATTGTTGCATCTGCAATTACTCGGGCCAGGGTTCCGGCTTCAGTTGAAAGCAGTCCACCGTTGTAGGTCCCACGTGAAAGTCGTGATGACATGACCCGAGATAGGAGCGATAAGTTAACACCTGCATTGGTCAAACAAATGAAAAAAATACCATAATAATAAGTCCCAAGTTCAAGAAGCTGGGGAAAGATTGAACATAGAGCAGCAAATTAATGATAAGGAGCTAAACTATACTCCTCGGTAGCAATTGAGTCTGTGTCAAACTACTTTCTAGGATTTGTGTTCTGTTTCAGGCAACACGACTTGGTATGCTTTCTTTTGCTGGGAATGCCAATCTCAAATTATATTTTAATGGTCAGTTGAGCATGTTGGAGGCTAATGAGTAGTGGAGAGAGGCCAACTAGTAGAAATGGTTGCCATGCTNATAGGAGCGATAAGTTAACACCTGCATTGGTCAAACAAATGAAAAAAATACCATAATAATAAGTCCCAAGTTCAAGAAGCTGGGGAAAGATTGAACATAGAGCAGCAAATTAATGATAAGGAGCTATAGGAGGCCCAGAGGTTAGGAGATAGCATTGGGCACGTTCTATAAATGTTAGCCAGGCTAATCATATTTCCTGACAAGTCTTCTACTTGCAAGTTGGTACAGTAGTTTTGGATGAAGTTGTTACCATTTATCAAAATGAAAGGAAGTAGCCACAAATTACCTTCAAGAACTTCAGCTGAAACAAATGTGATAAGAGCCGAGCAGACATATTGTGGTACAGAGTAAGGGATTATCACTTGGAAACTCAGAAGTATGCCTAAGCATACCATAACTTCCGATGCCAGTAAAACTTGCCTGCAGCCCGATTATTCAGAGTATGCATCAGCTGGAGATAACAGTTATAAATGGACAGTAGAATAAGCATGAAGCATGTTAATTATAAGTTGGATTCTTAGCATGTCCAAGTCATGGATTGAAACCAACTGTATAGACGACCCAATCAATATGGTGGATTGGTATAGAAAATGAGACATTGTACTGCAGACACACCCTATAGTAACTACTCAAAGAGCACTGGGGAGCTTTGTCAACAACGTATCCAGGTTTCTGGCAGTTGTAAACAAATCAGTATTATGTTAATTGTTCTGGGCAAACCACCAAGAGGGGCCATATGATCCAATACATAGCTCATTCTGTCACTCTGATATGATGTCAACATAAGTATATATTAAGTGGAAACCATAAGGGTAACTATTCTATGAGACTACTTTAGGTGTTACCGACACAAGTTGGAAGTTCTTCTTGCAGGAGGATGATGAGTTGATGACATTCCGTTGATTTAAAGGAATCAATTGAAAGTGATATCAAGCTCAAATCTGTGGGTTTTCACATAACAAGCTGAGCACTCCCAGGGTCAGGGGTGTTTTAGAGGAACAAGATATAAGCGTCAAAATGAGTGTTCATCAGCGTCAAATGACTAATAAGTAACATTTCTACTCACAAGAGAAAAATAATAATATCCGAGTCAAGTATTTAACCTCATCCAAGTCGTTGTATTGTTGTAACACTGAGGTGACCAATACTATAGAAACCCTCACCGGCAGATGGTCTATTCAATAAAAATTGGCTTTGGGGGGAAGGGTTCTTTTTCATTTTATTTTGTGTTTTGGGAAAGGGGGTGGTATGTCTCTTAACATGGAAAATTACATATGAATTTAATAAATGCTTCTCTAAGGTCCAAATGCTTACCTTTCCTCAAACATGTTACTGATGTAACTTCCAACAAATATGTTAACAGGAAGGACAGTCAGACCAAGAAATGCCAGGAAAATTGCCACATTGCTTGTTGACCAGACAAAATAGAATGAGGTGATGACACTTGACTCAGCAAGTACAACCTCCATAGCATATTTGAGCATGAAATATACGAATAACTGAACCTGTTCATTGTAGTCAAATCTAAATCAGTAGTGTTATAGATAAGCAATATCCATACAAAACGTATAACATTAATTTGCAATTTCAATAATTGGAAAATGAGAAATGGAAAAGTTGGCATCAGCATAAAACTGGAAGGTACTATCACAAATAGGTGACAAAAATAAGAACAACATAATATGGACCTCAGCCAGTTTCAAAAAATTTAAATGGGTTGTTTGATCATCAAGGGTTATATCTGATATGCATGCTCGTACCGAAAGAGTAGCAAGTTAAGATGGCTATTGTGCCAAGCTTATTACTTCTCGTTTTAAGGCGGTCATGTCAGATTTTCAATATTGGGGATATCATGAGATGTCGTGTTTCATGGCATACCCAAATTTATCAGCAAGATAGTTGTTCGATAACATTGAGAAGTAGAAAGGGTATATGATGATCCCGACAGGGTATATGATGATCCCGAAAGGGTATATGATGATCCCACATCCAAACTCAATCTGTCTCAAAGTGATAGGTCATGAGAACATAAACTCAATTCCTATGAAAGTAGATTATACAGTTTCCCAGAAGCATGCATTACACAACGAGAGTGTTCTCTTTGCATATCAATAAAACAAACTAGGAAACAAGGACAGGATCCTCATGAAGTTAAATGATATATCTGCATACCAAACGAATAAAATACATACCTTTACAGATGGTGTAAGCAGTCTATATGCAGACACAATTGAAGTGACAGGTTTGTGGATCTCTTCCTCAGAATTTTCTTCCCCAATATCACATTCATGGTCTTCATCTTCACCTGGTTGGTTCTCTGTTGTGCTTAATAGCAATGATTGGCTAAGCCCATTCTCTAATGCACTTGTTTCTATCATCCCTAAAATGAGAAATAACATATGAAATCCCTTACCCAAATGGACGCTGGAATTATTAATTCTATAGTTGCAAAAATAAATTTACAATACTTACCAAATAAATAAATAAATAAATTTACAATAAAAGCCGATCAAATGGAGTTCCTATAAGGTATTCATGACATTGAAGCTTATTGCATCTAAGTGAAACACAAGACATTCTACTTTTGTGCATTGTTCAGCCATGAATAATGATAAGACCTTTAAAGAATTTTACACCTCCATACACCTATCCAAAAGTCACATGCCAATAGGACTGTCAGTTCTTTGGGTTCAGAAGGCTGGATTGCTCCAAGTATTAGCATTAGAGATTACACATCGAAAGGTGATGATATTTTTTGTCAAGTTTGTAGTAGATGAAATTATGATACAATGATTTAAGGGCGGCTGTCAGTTTTAGAGTTTGTTTCCCTTAGAATGCAACATCAGGACTCGATGTTAGGCTGGTTGTGTCAGACAAGACAATCAGTATTTTCTGGAAAGTAAGACAATCTGTATTTTCAATACTGGCTTTAAATAGGAATTGGTAGTTGAACTTGTGGAAATCAGAGTAACAACATGAATTTTGGAGTAGACAACATGTTAGAGGATTTGGCACATTCAGATAATTATTTTCCTTATGCCTCCATTTAGTTTGGCAGGAAAAGGAACAAAATCCAGATTCTGTTGTTTACTTGTACAAGCTAGTTTGAAGAAACTTAAGAACGATTAGTGCCACGATCCTGCAAGACTCTAAAATCCTTTATGGCGCCTGAGATACTATATTTAACTTAAATTTCAAATGATTATGAAAATCTCTAGTCTCAAAGTTGGTGTGTCTGAATAACTGCAGGGAGATTTTATGATCACTAATATAGATTGAGCTTGAAGCAGCTAGATTACTGCAGAGACTTTGAGGGTTCAGGACATTCATAAATTTTCATATAATTAGACCTCGGAAGGAGGACCTTTACATCCTGAACTACAATCTGTCAATTGAGCTTGAGCAATGTAGGAGGGAGAAGAGAGTAGAAGATCCGGTTCAATTAATTCCAGGTTTAGCAAAATTTCTCGAACTTACAAGATTGACATGGATAAGTCTCCGTGGTTATCATAATACAGCGTTGATGACAAGACAAAAGATGTTATCCATGAAAGGAGTCGAGTAAAGATTTGACATAGTTTATCTATTAAATAAACGATTAAAGTTGCAGACACATAAAATCTCCTGAAGAATTACGACTTGGAATTGGTTTGATGAATGAACCTCAACGACGACTTGAAATGATATAAATGATTGAGAATGGAAGTCTAACAAATCTCTATTCTAAAGTGGTTTCGTTGCCATCTAACATTCAGGACATATAAGCACAAACTTGAGGACTAATATGCATAAACTGAACCACTAGAAAACATTACAAAACACCATAATCCAGATAGTTGAAACCATTGCGACTTTCCAATTAGCATACCAGAGTTGGCTGGCCGTGTCACAATATTCTCGTTTTCCTCATGTGGAGGCTCTCTAAATGAAAACCACAACCACAATAGATAGATAAACCATGCAAGAGACATAAACCATCCTGGTAAAGTGTCTTCATTAAAAGTGATTTTAAATATCTTGAATTCAGTTTGAAGTAAGTAGGCGAGTGCAGGACCAGATGCCATTCCAAGTGCACTGGCACTAACAAAACCAGCAGAAGCTTTCATTCTCATTCTGAGAGGCACACAATCGCTGATATAACGCCTGTTAACAGCCCTTGCGGAACCCAACCTGAAACATTGGTAAATATTCCACTTTGTTAGACATACCTAATTCAGCCATATGATTGCACCAATGAATAAACTACTATAAATGTGTATCTTCAGGGGAGAAAGGGGTAGAATGTAATAAACTACTATAAATGTGAATCTTCAGGCAAGGAATTTCTTCTCTCAAACTAGAATATATCAATAACCATTAACCGCATAAACAAGTCCAATTGCAATATTGCAGCCAAAACAAATATTATTTGAATTAACATTATGTGAGAGAATGCCTAAGAGCAGAAATAGAAAAAAGAAGACATAAATAGTAGCTATGTGGAAAAAATTATTCTCTTTTCTTATGCAATCTGTGTTTAATTGTCAATTAAATTTGTACTTTGCATAAAGAGGTAATTGTGGTAGATTAAGTTTTTATTGGTAATCAATTGAGCTTTAAATTGAAAAACCTATTCACATTTCATTTATGTCATAATTGAATAAAGAATTCAGAAAATCGAATTAAAAAGAAAGACGGAATCAATGAAATCTTGTTTGGTCTTTGCTCGAAAGTTTATTTATTTATTTTTTTGTTGGGGGTGGGGGGGGGGGGGGGG